CAATGCTCATATGAAACTAGACAAATTTCTTCTTCTTTTTCTTTTTTTATCGACATTGAAGCTGAACATCGATGAAGGATCTGAGCTAGCTAGCCGTGTGTACTCCCTGCCACATTTGTCTCTTTACCACCCTTCATCCCAGCTTTGGGTCGGTTGTGGAATGATGAAGGATTCACCTTGGAAGTGGGTCTTCTACCTTTCCCTTCAACTTTTGTTCTTTTACCAGAGACTTTATCGATCTCTGCCTTCTCCTGTGATGAAAAGAAGAGAAAATAGTGGATGAAAATGGAAGCACTTAGGAGTCAATCATAATATTTTGCAACATTTTTTTTTTCTATTTATTTAGAATAACTCAGGTCTCTCGTTGCTTTCCAAAGTTGTGAATGGACGTCCCGAGCATAAAACATGTGTTTTTGGTGCTGCGGGTTGATCAGTTCCATCGGATCGATACATAATTTGTGGAGTTATCTCGCACTTATAAAGATGATAAAGACAGGGAGTGAGTGAATTTAGAATTAAATTGGCTTAGAATTAAAAATAAAAATTAAATAAAGAAAGATTGGAAGGAAAAGAGATTTCAACCTTAGCAGAACAACTCATGGGTTAGCAGAAATACGTCAATGTGTAAGCGCAGAGGGATATAATAGTCTGGTGAAGGTGTCATCTAATAGAGACTGTAATATATTTGTTGTTGAAAGTTGAAAATTAGCTTTATTTGTCGGAAATCTATGCTACAGCACCCAATAAAAAAAAAAGAAAAGAAAGAAAAGCAATTCTGAGAAGTCGATCTGTTCATCCGAGTTAAAATGTGAATATTTTTCTCTACTTTAATTAAGACAGTATTTCATGGTTACTATTCTCGTAAATTTGCTGTTAATTCTATGTAGAATCTGATTGTGTTTCAATTGGATTATACGGCTGACTAAGACACCAATTCCATTGTTTGAGCTCATTGGGGGATTGCAGGAGGGACTCCTTCCGCTTTAGGTTTAGGTGTTTTGCCCCCTTTTTTTATGTATAATTTTATAGCATTGTGGCACTGTATATTTTAGCATTGCAATGCAGTACACTCGTGCTTGTTAGAAACAGAGTGCAGAGTGCCGCGGTCCTTCAAACCCTAGCGCTGCAAAACTGTCAACCATGCTGGAGCAGAGAGTGGAGAGCTGTGATGCTCCAAACCTTAGTATCATGGTATTTTCTCTTTTTAATGCTTAACATGAAGGGTTGCATCTCATTGGGTGATTTATGAGTCTTTTTGTAAGTTCTGTTTAGAACATGTGTGTGAAGATTGAAGTGAGAAAAGAAGAAAATAAGAGAGATTGAAAGATATTTGTATAATTACTCCTATTTTCATAAGGAATTCTTGATATGATGCGGCTTAGTAGTTTTTTTCCGCTTTCGAATTTTTCCACATCAAAATTTTTTGCTTGTGAATTATAGGTTTGATTTAATTGAAAAACATTAATAAAAATATGACAAGTTGATATGGCCTTGTGAGCTGTGAATGAGGTCGGGCAAAAAGTTAAGCAGGCTATTAATGATTTCAGAGACAATCTTGAATTAATATGATCCAAAGATAACACATATAAATGAAGCGGAGTGATAACCGAGCTAGTATATACTTCTTTCTTAGAAAAAGATAGCCTTAGAAGCCACAGAGATTAATACTCAAATCAGTTTTCTTCCTAGAGATAATAATAAATGGATCACATAACACAATTTCAAGATTAAAAAATGATTGATGAGCATGTCCTAGCCTCATTGGTGAGCTATAATGATTTAATAGTAGTTGCCATTGTAGTGTCTTTGATCAACACAAACAATATATATCTTTTTTAATGCTGAATGTGATGAATCTAATGGAGTTAACAAATTAAAATTATAAAGTTAGATTCATATAATGAATTTTGGATGATTTGTGATTCAATTTCAGGATTGAATAATAATAAGTTAATTTTTTATCAAAAAATTCGTCTCCTTGAGGGGCAATATTTATTTACAAAATGTAGGCTTATGGAGGTCATGAAAACTTCGAAAAGTCAAAAATATTTTAGATTAATTATATTAGAATAGATATACTTTAGTGTGATTGAATACAACTTATACTATGAAGTTTATGATGAGATTTGAAAGTATCTTCCGTTTGATGGCGCTTGAGGCTAATGATCAGTTCTATTATATAATATAAGGTACAACCCCTTTAATCCAAGATTTTAAAGATAGAATGAGCTGTGATACCGATCTATTTTAAAACTGTTGGTATTTAAACCCAACTAGACTAGTCAGCGGCGTTCAACTGATAAAATTCGGTCTCGAAGCTCTTGACTGACCGATTCAATAGCTGAATTGTTTAAATAATTAAAAAATCATTTTTATATCAAGCTAAACCAATTCGATTTTAAGTAATCTTTAAACTTCAAATCAAATTAATATCACTACCAAAATGGAAAGAGGAACTATG